CGAATTCCCGATTCTGAGTCGAGAGCGAAGCCCACTGTACTACGGCCTACGGAAACAACAGACCGTCCTCATCAACAAGGTTCAAATTTAATGCTTCACCCACATACTTCAAATACAAATAATCGCCAACGAACCTAAACACCTAATCTAACCTACACCTAACCTAACCTAGCCTAGCCTAACCTAACCTAACCTAACCTAACCTAGCCTAGCCTAACCTAACCTAACCTAACCTACACCTAACCTACACCTAACCTAACCTAACCTAACCTAACCTAACCTACACCTAACCTAACCATACCATACCATACATCGAACATATATAGTAATATTAATTTATATGTAACAGCCTGAGTTACAGCCCCGCTCCTGTGCCAGGTAAGTCCACAATGGGCTCACCATAGCCCGTGCTACTTGGAGCTTTTTGTTCCAAGAAGCGAATCTTAAACAACAACAACACATGTAACGGACCTATTTTCAATACACATTACATTAAAATTAATGAATGCGTCTTGGAAGACAACTGCCGCTTGAACGAGCCTGGCCTGAGGACTGGTTGCTCAAAGACAAACTTTAACAGTAATTTCATATTGTGTGTTAAGCTATCCTTTGCTGATTAGTTTACTAAGAAATTATATTCAGTCCCAGGAAACGTAAGCAAGTTACAAAATCACTAATTTGCAGTTGTATAAAGTTCAAGGGGACAGAGGATGTTGTTGATGTGAGCTTAACAGAAGTGTATCGCATTCGAGAATGAAAGGTTAAGTGTAGCAAGGTCGGAGACAAGCATGGAGCCGCCGCCGCCGCCTCCTCCTCACTGAACCTTCAGTAAGTTCTCGCTAAACTGATTGGGAGAGGGCGTCTTCAATAACAAATTGAAAAATCATTTTCAATAGGAACATTATTGAATCTGCTTTAATATAGATTACAAAATCATGTAATTTGAATATTAGCAATGGTTTGTATAATTTAGATCCATTTTTGATTGATGAGCTAAAGGGCGATTTGAGCAGGATCATTGATCCACATATATATCATTAATACCTTATTAATATCACATTATCTCATTAAAGATATTGTACCTCACCTCACCTATTTCCTGACCATATATCCACACCCACTGACATATAAATCCATGGTGTGACGGGAGACATCTCCCGTCACACAGGGTGCAGTCGCACCTCCACAGATCTCCAGTATCATCTATTGATACTGGTGATGGCTCAAAAGGGCCACCACTTATGGGCTATTCATGCCCAAGCCACCTTTTGGGTGGCTTAATCTTCTCTCTCTCTCTCTCTCTCGATTCTTTAGTGACCATCTGGTCACCATTTGGTCCGGGAGACATCTCCCGTCACGCTGGGTGCAGTCGCACCTCCACAGATCTCCAGTATCATCTATTGATACTGGTGATGGCTCAAAAGGGCCACCACTTACGAGCTATTCATGCCCGTGCCACCTTTTGGGTGGCTTCATCTTCATCTTAACACATTCACAAGGGAGACGGTCATGCAGGGTGCATTCGCACCTCCACAGATCTCCAGTATCAGCTCTTGATACTGGTAATGGCTTAAAAGGGCCACCACTTACGGGCTATTCATGCCCGTGCCACCTTTTGGGTGGCTTAATCTTCATCAATCTATAAATCCATCCTTCTGAAGATGTATTATTAGATACGAAAATACTTAAGGAAATTCCTGTCTTAATCCTTCCTTCGTGGTCTGACACGAACAGGCGTTCTCCAATGTACTGGATGCTCTTCAATTTTGTAAATTAGGATCACAAATATGTCCCACTTATTCAGCTCCTTGTTGAGCATGACTGATGGTACCATATCGTAAGAAATGTGACCTATTAGTTGAGAGGACGGATTAGTCCGTCACCAACACCAGGGTGCTTGGTGACCTCCACCACTAGTCCCCCAGAAGATGGTGACCACCACCATTGTCCTCTGACCAGTTGATGATGTTCTCACTGGGCATAATGGGAGAATATATATGTAATCTATACTGACCCTAAGAGTGTGTTGACCCTCAAATATTCTCCATTGTTATGAACAAGGAAACCCTGGCCTCTGCTGGTGACCTTGCTAGTGAGAAGAATCTCTCGGTATAGGGATTTGACCTCCACGATTGGCTTGACCTTTTAAACGAAACATTCCGCGGCTTGTATTACGCGTAATTACGTATAAAGGTCACTGGTGATTGGCTATGACATTATTATTCTCTGGTGACAACAGGGGGGTAAAAAGTATATATATGCGTGTTAGTGGGTCAAGTTGTCAAGTCTCCCGATCAATCATCGCTACTCGAACGGTTACTGGCGCGCCGGTCTACGCGAACGCTTACTGGCGCGCCGGTCTACGCGAACGCTTACTGGCGCGCCGGTCTACGCGAACGCTTACTGGCACGCCGGTCTACGCGAACGCTTACTGGCACGCCGGTCTACGCGAACGCTTACCGGCACGCCAGTGTCAACGACTCTGACACTAGTGTTCACTCCCGTCTATTCCCTGTGACTTGACATGTTATGACAAGAACACAGAAGCAGAACAGAGTCCTGGGACGTCCTACACGCACGACCGACCCGTGAACCACAATATGCTCCAAATCAACCTGTACGACCCACTGTAAAAGGCCTGCAGGGGACCTTCCTTCGGGCTCGCATGCCCTTGTACCGTACCAGTGCGAATGTAGTTCGCTGACTACACCTGTCTCGCGGTACTGGGACATATGTGTATCGCATTTGTTTACAGTTTGCTCATTTCACTCTCCCTGGCTACTATTACATTTTTCACATCTGTCTACTTTATTGTTCAATCCTTTTAATATGTTACCCCGCTCTTTACCTGATATTCCAATATATGAAAAGTCACAGGTCTGTGGCTCTGACCTTCACCCATTTTTTCATATCCGCGTGACCTACACCCTTGTGACCTACAGCCTCGTGACCTACACCCCCGTGACCTACACCCTCGTGACCTACACCCTTGTGACCTACACCCTCGTGACCTACACCCTCGTGACCTACACCCCCGTGACCTACACCACCGTGACCTACACCCTCGTGACCTACATCCCCGTGACCTACACCCTCGTGACCTACACCCCCGTGACCTACACCACCGTGACCTACACCACCGTGACCTACATCCCCGTGACCTACACCCTCGTGACCTACACCTCCGTGACCTACACCACCGTGACCTACACGCCCGTGACCTACACCCCCATGACCTACACACCCATGACCTACACCCCCGTTACCTACACCCCCGTTACCTACACGCCCATGACCTACATCCCCGTGACCTACACCCCCGTGACCAACACCACCGTGACCTACACCCCCGTGACCTACACCCCCATGACCTACACCCCCGTGACCTACACCCCTGTGACTTACACCCCCTGACCTACACCCCCGTGACCTACACCCCTGTGACCTACATCCCCGTGACCTACACCCCCGTGACCTACACCCCGTGACCTACACCCTCGTGACCTACACCCCCGTGACCTACACCCCCGTGACCTACACCCCTGTGACTTACACCCCCGTGACCTACACCCCCGTGACCTACACCCCCGTGACCTACTTCCCCCGTGACCTACACCCCCGTGACTTACACCCCGTGACCTACTCCCCCGTGACCTACACCCCTGTGACTTACACCCCCTGACCTACTCCCCCGTGACCTACACCCGTGACTTACACCCCGTGACCTACACGCGTGACCTACACCACCGTGACCTACACCCCCTGCCTGAGGTCAAGATCAATAGCGCCGTAGGGAGGATAAGTAAGGGCCCCCCCCCCCCCACCCCAGCCTGAAGGTGATGTTTCAACAAGGGGTAATACTCCAGGTGATGCCTGGGACCGGAGGGTCTGCGGCCTCCTAGTAAACTAGAGGAAAGTGTAGAGCACCCTCTTGATTGTGCTCTAGCTCATCACTCCCGCCTCTCAACCGTCAAACAGCTTCTGTGTGTCTATAGGTTCCTGTCCCTACTGGCCACTGACGTATCTATATCCATAAAGAATGTCTATCTCCCTATCCAGGGATGGAAACCAGATGCTTGGGGCTAGTCTCATTAAATTAAGCACAGTTAAATGTGATTTTAGTGTGTCATAAGGTGGCTTGGGGGTCGCACCAGTCTCCAGGAGATTAACACAGCCATTTGAGAAGACGAGAATGCAGCTTGAAGCCATCTTGAACATTGGGGACATGAGAAGCAACGAATATTTACCACTGTACACATGTTACCCTACCTCCCTATCCTCCCGACTAAGATTGCTGGGCGGGTCTTGTTATTGATTATGAAGGGAACCCCACACCAGTAGACCTTATGACTTTTGTCTTTTTTTGTTCTATCCTTCACATCTGAAAGGAACCTTTAACATTAAGATAACCCCTAGGAGACGGTGTGAGTGAAGGACGCGAAATAAAAAGAGCACACATGTTAACCAAAACAACACACCTGTCGACAAGACATCACACCTGTTGACAAAAGACTCAAGGAACCTTGTCAACAGGTGTGGACAAGACTCCTGGAGTCTTTTATCCACACGTGTCAAACAAAGCAACACATCTATTGACAAAAACAACACACCTGTTGACAAAAAGACCCTGTCGAAAAAGTCAACATCTGTTGACAAAAACACTACATCTGTCGACCAAAACACATCTGTATCAAACTACGGTTTGTGTGTCAACTTAAACGTCCATACCTCTCATCCAAAAGACCATACCGGTCAACTAAAAAGAAACGATGATTACCCGATATCAATAATATACCTTGGATAAGAAACTAGCCCCCCCATCCTCCCCACCAAAAAAGGTAGACGAAAACGAGAGCGACCCCCCAAGCGTGGCGCGCATGGGGGGGGGCCGGTTAAGGTGGGCGCCGCCCCACACTAGCCGGCGTAACTTTTGATCTTCTACACCAGAAGTCGGTTGCGCGCGCGCGGGAAAGGTGAAGGTCTCTCCCGCCTAATATAAACGAGGCTCCCAGCCGGTCAGAGCACAGTGACCCTTCAGCTCCCACGACGAGAAGATGTTGGCCATAGTGAGTATTTTCTGATTAGCTTGTAACCTGGACTTTGTCGAGGAGTATATACATACTTTTCTGAACGTCTGGTAATTAAGAATTTGTTAGGTTTAATGAAGTGTCAGGGTAGATTTAAGTTTCAAATTAGTCCTTCGTGTTGGAGGCATGAGTGAACCAGGAACCAGGAAGCAGCCCGTAGCATCTGTCTAACTCAGGTACCTATTTACTAATAGGTGAACAGGGGGTATCAGGGTGAAAGAAACTCTGCCAGTAATCGAACCCGGGCCCTTAGGACTACGACCCCGAGGGTCCTCAGTTGCGAGAATCACGCACGCACGCGTGCGTGTGTGTGTGTGTGTGTGTGTGTGTGTGTGTGTGTACACAACCACTTGCTATTAAATAATGAGGACATTTTAAACCTGTGTGCTGTTTGGTATCTTGAAGTACACTCTCAAACAAGTATCGTCTCTTGACAGGTGGTGTTGACGGTGGTAGCCGCCGTGCAGGTGGAGTGCGCACCCAGCCAATTCTGGCCAGGCTTCTCGAATGCTCCCTCCTTCACTTCGCAACCGAACAAGAAGCCAATATTTTCTACACAGATCCACAAAGGTTTCCCAAGCAAGACTAGAGTTCCCGATCACGCGGAGACTCAGCGCGCCTACGAGGACTTCATCCAGATATGGTTGGATCAGGCCAGGCTCACCCTCAACACGGCCAATGCCGCCAGGTTCAGCCCTCGGCCCAACGTGGGAGAACCTGTTGTCGTAGCCGAGGCGATCACAGAGAACCCACGAATCCAAGAGGTCGTTCCTGTCGAGTCAGATCAAACTTTCTTCATGGATCCAGAGCCAACCTCCCACGTGGATGCAGAGCCAACTTCCTACGTGGATCCAGAGTCAACTTATAACGTGGATTCAGAACCAACTTCCTACGTGGATCCAGAGCCAACTTCCTACGTGGATCCAGAGCCAGCTTCCTTCGTAGAGGCAGAGCCAACTTCCTTTGTAGAGGCAGAGCCAACTTTCTTTGTAGAGGCAGAGCCAACTTCCTTCATAGAAGCGGAGCTAACTTCCTTAATAGAGGCAGAGCCAACTTCCTTCGTAGAGGCAGAGCCAACTTCCTTCGTAGAGGCAGAGCCAACTTCCTTCGTAGAAGCAGAGCCAACTTCCTTCGTAGAGGCAGAAATCCAGCCAATGGAGCAGCCAGATAAACACGAGCCAGTATTTATCGACGTACAGCCAACACCTGAAATATTGACATCAGTCGCCGTTGAGACAGAGGTCGTGCCTGATGACATAGCCCTTGTTGCTGAGGAAAATATTCCGACTCTTGTGGAACAGGACACTTCCACCGTTCTCAGAGACGAGATAGCTCAAGACACCATCGCAGTACTCCCTTCTGTGGAGCCCATGGCAGAACCCAGTGTAGAACAGTCCTTTGTGGAAGCTATTACCGAGGCTCCTGCAGTAAAATCCACTGTGGAGCAAGCTGTGAAACCCACGGAAGAGATAGTCGTGGAACCCATTATTGAGCCATTCGTGGAAAATGCTGCAGAGGAACCAGTGGAGGAGTTCCAGCCACAAGTCGAGCCTACAAAGACTATCATTCCCGCTGGCAGAAGCATCAGCTCAACATCCTCCAGACACTCGGCGATGACCCTCGAGCATCGCCCGACCATCATCAAAGAGGAGTTCCCCGGAGCAACGTTCCATCCTAGTGTCCTGGTACACCCTCAGCCAGCCCGCCTGCCAGCACGCGCTGCTGGGGCCATCAACACAGAGGGCCTCACCTACACCCTACAGTTCTTCCCCACACAAGGACGGTCTCACTATTTCGTCTCAACGCCCATCGGAGGAAGCAGGAGATTTTAATGGAGAAGTCCCTGTCATATTATTATAAGGATTGTACATATGTCATTTTCTATACTCATTACTTCTATGTAGCTTAAAAGTAAACAGATATTTTTCTACAATTTGTAAATATTTTTTTATTTGTATATACTCTAAAGCTGGCTTCGATACCTTTAGTAGAAATAAATATATTTTGAAGCTCATGAATATTGTTAAAAACATAAAAACGGCACAATTATTTTTTATGTAAATCACAATAAAGCCGGAAAAGAAAACCCGTACTTCACGTTTTTGTCTAGTTCCCTATAATTATAAAACCCAGAGGGGAAGGAGGTCAGTTCTGATGCTACAGCCACAACACCTGAACTCACGAGGCAACGCCACACATACCGACAAAGGAGACACGGCAGCGTTAAAAAAAAAGTTTTGTCCTACCTCCCCGACTAATCTAAAACAACAGTTCTTTCACTCTGACGGTCTGAGCTCAACTTGGGCGGGAAACTTAGGGTGGCCAAGATGAATGGATGAAGCAGCACACACAGGAGACGGATGGGATGAAAGTGGCGCCAAAGGCAGATAAGATGAATGAGGGAATATAAACGATGAAGGGGAATGGATGAGGAAATACTGATTCTTGACCAGTGCCACCTCTTGGGTGGCTTAATCCTCATCAATCAAATCACAACACACTGGTAGCTCACCACGGTCAAATGTTGACACAGCACCGCTCCTGTGCCAGGTAAGTCCACGACGGGCTCACTATAGCCTGTGCTACTTGCCCCGCTCCTGTGCCAGGTAAGTTACGGGCTCACCATAGCCTGTGTTACTTGGCCCGCTCCTGTGCCAGGTAAGTTACGGGCTCACCATAGCCCGTGCTACTTGGAACTTGTTCCGAGTGGCTGAATCTATAACAACGGTGACTCACCCTGAGAGCCGCAACTTCTCGCCCTACACACCCTGAGAGCCACAACGTCCCACCCTACACACCCTGAGAGCCACAACGTCCAGCCTACACACCCTGAGAGCCACAACGTCCAGCCCTACACACCCTGAGAGCCACAACGTCCTGCCCTACACACCCTGAGAGCCACAACGTCCCGCCCTACACACCCTGAGAGCCACAACGTCTCGCCCTACACACCCTGAGAGCCACAACGTCCCGCCCTACACACCCTGAGAGCCACAACGTCCCGCCCTACACACCCTGAGAGCCACAACGTCCAGCCCTACACACCCTGAGAGCCACAACGTCCAGCCCTACACACCCTGAGAGCCACAACGTCCAGCCCTACACACCCTGAGAGCCACAACGTCCCGCCCTACACACCCTGAGAGCCACAACGTCCAGCCATACACACCCTGAGAGCCACAACGTCCCGCCATACACACCCTGAGAGCCACAACGTCTCGCCCTACACACCCTGAGAGCCACAACGTCCCGCCCTACACACCCTGAGAGCCACAACGTCCAGCCCTACACACCCTGAAAGCCACAACGTCCAGCCTACACACCCTGAGAGCCACAACGTCCCGCCATACACACCCTGAGAGCCACAACGTCCCGCCATACACACCCTGAGAGCCACAACGTCCCGCCATACACACCCTGAGAGCCACAACGTCCCGCCATACACACCCTGAGAGCCACAACGTCCCGCCATACACACCCTGAGAGCCACAACGTCCTGCCCTCCCCAACTCAAAGCCACAACGTCCCGCCCTACACTGAGTGGCCTTAATCTTCTACAGTTTGATAAGCCTTAAGCCCAACACCACCACCACAACATCATAGATTTACAGAGACTTCATGTTGAACAGCAGACTTCACCAGCATCAAGTATGGCAGACATGTGCCTGATGCTATCAGTACAAGAAGCCGTCACCAGCATCAAGCTTAAGAGACAAGAAAGCGTGCCATCATGCAGCAGAGGTTGTGTAGTAACAGGTTGGTTCTTAAACTTTTTTTAGAGTAAGAAAAGTTTGACCCGTCTGTCATCGTTATTCTTTAAACAAAACATAACATAGCCTAATTCTATTCTATAGCCTAATTCTAGCCTAACCTAACATAGCCTAGCTTAGTCTAGCTGAACTGAACAAATTTTGTATTTTATTCATACTGTAGTGTGCATAAGGTGTGTGATATCACTACAATGATGTATTATTATTTATTAAAATTGTAATGCCAGTACAGGTTTTGGATGCTTCTGTTTTTTAAGGATAAATAATGTAACACCGCTCACATCAGCTTCACTCCATTCCAACCCAGCTTTATCCCTGCTTTAATCCTTTTATCACAGCATCGTTGTTTCAGCTTCACATTCCCTCCTCTAGCATTCACCACTCGCTCTAGTGATCATCACTCGCTCTAGTGATCATCACTCGCTCTAGTGATCATCACTCGCTCTAGTGATCATCACTCCCTGCTCTAGTGTTCATCACTCCCTGCCCCAGTGTTCATCACTCCCTGCTCCAGTGTTCATCACTCCCCCACTCCAGTGTTCATCACTCCCTGCTCCAGTGTTCATCACTCCCCCACTCCAGTGTTCATCACTCCCTGCTCCAGTGTTCATCACTCCCTGCTCCAGTGTTCATCACTCCCCACTCCAGTGTTCATCACTCCCCACTCCAGTGTTCATCACTCCCCCACTCCAGTGTTAATCATTCCCCACTCCAGTGTTCATCACTCTGCTCCAGTGTTCATCACTCTGCTCCAGTGTTCATCACTCCCTGCTCCAGTGTTCATCACTCCCCCACTCCAGTGTTCATCACTCCCCGCTCCAGTGTTCATCACTCCCCGCTCCAGTGTTCATCACTCCCTGCTCCAGTGTTCATCACTCTGCTCCAGTGTTCATCACTCTGCTCCAGTGTTCATCACTCCCTGCTCCAGTGTTCATCACTCCCAGCTCCAGTGTTCATCACTCCCAGCTCCAGTGTTCATCACTCCCTGCTCCAGTGTTCATCACTCCCTGCTCCAGTGTTCATCACTCTGCTTCAGTGTTCATCACTCCCTGCTCCAGTGTTCATCACTCCCTGCTCCAGTGTTCATCACTCCCTGCTCCAGTGTTCATCACTCCCTGCTCCAGTGTTCATCACTCCCTGCTCCAGTGTTCATCACTCCCTGCTCCAGTGTTCATCACTCCCCGCTCCAGTGTTCATCACTCTGCTCCAGTGTTCATCACTCCCTGCTCCAGTGTTCATCACTCCCTGCTCCAGTGTTCATCACTCCCTGCTCCAGTGTTCATCACTCCCTGCTCCAGTGTTCATCACTCCCTGCTCCAGTGTATATATATATCATATATGTCATGTTAACAATGAAACTGAAACTGATATCTAATATTATTGAGCAAATATATATCTCCTGAGCTTCTATATACTAAATGTACTGTACTATACTTATTTAAGTGAATATAGTTATGTGTAAGTACAAAATAAAGATCTGAACAGATAATAATGCAGTTATCTTGAGATGATTTCGGGGCTTAACGTCCCCGCGGCCCGGTCCTTGACCTGGCCTCCTCTCTCTCAGGAGGCCCAGAGAGCCCACCTGTGTAGGGCAAGCTCAGTTGGACTAGGATATACAATATAAACTTGCAAAATGAAAATACTCAGTACAGTAGTCAAAATGAAAATTGTAGAATTTTTAAAAGTGTAAGGATAAATGAAATTCAAGCAGTTAATTAACCAGGAACAAGAATACTAAATCTAGGAACAATTACAGTAAAAATTCAAATTATGAAAAAAAGTCAGTCAGATTAAAAATGGAACATAAAATGAAAGCTTAATTAAACGGAATATGTGTGATAGCCAAATAAAAGTACTGTACAGTAATTGACACCAGAAGAAATGAACTTTAAATGGTTAGATAAGAAACATACAAATTAAAAACCTAAGAATAACTGTAAAATTTTACTTTTTTTTTACATTGCAGTTAAGATCAAATACGTTATGGAAAAAAAAAAATATATATATATATATGAAAAAATTATATCTTTGAATGGCAAGAAGCAAAGCTAAAGTACATGTACATTATGATTGCCACCGGTAGGTGAATTTATGAAGATGGAAGACTAGGAAGGAATCATCCAAAGAGGATGTTTTGTTCTACATACTGCTACTGTTAGACTACCATAACCATTTTCTCCATTTGGCACATGACACCACCTCTATGGTCAGACACCAAGGAATCTCAAAGACACACAGGCGGATTAGTAGGTTATTCTGGTAGCACAAGTGCAAAAGGAATGTGACCAGGTATTGCTGGAGGTGCAACATGTGTCAACATGCTGGTAAGCCAAATCAACCCAACCTTCAATCCGTTAAGGTGGTAATGGAACCCTTCTCTCCCCCCCCCCTCCCCATCATAACTGACAGTGTGGGACCCCATCCAACCACCAAGCATCAAGGGGGTAGAAATAGCCAAGCTACTCTATCCCTTTGAGGTGTATTTTTTCTTGTCTCAATAAACATACTTGAACCACCAAGCAAGGGTATAAGTATATCCTCACTATCATGGACCAGATTACCAGGTTTCCTGAAACCATATCCTTAAGAAATATCACCACCCAAATGATTACCCAAGGTCAGTCCTCCTCCTCTGCCATATTCAAATTACCTCATGTGATTCAAATGGATCAAGGATCTAATTTTACTTTAAACTATTTCAGGAGTTTTCTGAAGGCATGGAAATTCATCCCATGCTTTCCAGTCCATATCACCCTGAGAGTCAGGGAGCCATTGAAAGATTTTGAAAGATTTCATCAATCCCTGAAGACCATAATACTGGTCAAACTGGTCACTTCAAACAAGTGAACACTCAATGGTCAAACCGAATAGTGGGACAAACAACTGCCGTTCCTTTTGTTTGCTGCAAGGGACTTGGTTCAAGATTCTCATGGATACTATCCCTTCCAACTTATCTTTGGGTATGAGGTACGAAGGCCCCTTGTTATGTGCCTAGTGGTAAATAGTAATAATAATAATAATGATAGTTTGACAGACCCACTTCTTGAGGGGTATCTTGAGATGATTTCGGGGCTTAGCGTCCTGCGGACTGGTCCTCGACCAGGCCTCCTTTTTGTTACACATCCCCAGGAAGCAGCCCATAGCAGCTATCTAACTCCCAGGTACCTGTTTGTTGCTAGGTAAACAGGGGCATCATGGTGAGAGAAACTCTGCCCATTTATTTCCGCCTCCGCCAGGTTTCGAACCTGGAACCTTGGGACTACGAAAACCGAGTGCTGTCCACTCAGCCGTCAGGCCCCAGCCTGACTGGTGCCCTACA